ACTTTCTTAAACCCCATGTCCCAAGCTAACTTCAATCCTTTAAGAATAGCCCACTTCTCAGCCTCTGTTATAGAACAATTGCCAAGGAAATATGTGAATTCGGCAACCCAACATCCTAAATGATCCCTCAACACTCCACCGCAACCTGTTCTGTTACTAACAAATGACTTGACACCATCTACATTAACCTTGACCCACTGTGTAGGAGGACCTTTCCATGTTCCCATATTTATTCTATCAGAATTCTCACCATCATTGCTCAACTCTTCAGGCATGTAAAAACGTTTCCAAGTATATTTAATGACCAAAGCAGGGTCAATTGGTTTCGACACGTTTGGATTAAAACAAAAGTTATTTTTCCAAATCCAAAGTTTTCATATAGATACCCCCCAAATCAAATTCCAATCAGAATTTTAATCAAAGTTAATAGTTTGCTTGAGATTCCAAGCAAACTAATCAATCAAAGAAGTAAAAAAGAACTGTGAATGATACCTAAGTTGTAGTAATTGGCGCCAAAGTTTCCTGGCATACAGGCAAAATTGTTGTGGTACTCTAGCTGAAGGCAATTTGGGAAGTAGATACACTATAGATAGTTGGGCCAGGGCCCTGTTCATATCCAAACCTTAAAAAAAAAATCGCTTTCGGCAAAAAGAAAATAAAAAAAGATTAGGTCGAATTAAAAAACAAAAAATCTTGCATACTAAGGTGGATGGTTAATAGCTCTACTATCCAAACTGTTAGAATCTACTCTTCGTATTCAGTATTATAAGATATATTTAATTAATTTATATATTTCAATAAGTTAGTTAATAACATTTAAAATTATGCATTATTTTTATTTTTATTCTTATTTAATATGGTATCTTATCTAGAAACATTATTAATTACATCAATAATTAAGAGTATTTAAAAAAATTGTATTAGTTTTTTTAAATTATATTAATTACACAGACACAAAATATTTTATATTTTTAAACATGATACTTAAAAAAAAAACGTTGTTTTACAATTCTAAGGCCAAAGGGAGTACTTGATAGATAAGTTAATCCATGAAGAAGTTTGCTTTTCCAGGGACAAAGTCAAAGGAAAAATTATATGGCTACGGCCTAAATCGTATAGTCTTTATTTTTATATCATTTGCACTTAGATTTTGAGGTTTTTATTCTTATTATAGAGTATAATTAAATATTAAATTTAAAAAATAGAGTTTATCATGAACTCAGAATATTATATAAATTGAAAAGCATATTATTAAACATATAAAATTTATATATACGCACACGTGCAAATTTTCAGCATTGATGTTTTTTAACACAGAGATATTAGTTAATATTTCTAGTTTTGTTCGCTAAATATAAAGCCTATATTTTTAGAAAATAATCTTCTATAAACAAGTGATTATATGGCATTCGGTCGATGTTTTACACTTTTAGGACTAGACGCTCGGCCTAGGGCTTCTGAAACCAAGGACACATATTTCATCTCATTTCTATGCTTCTCAGTTTTTAACGCAATTAAATTTTTTTTTTCGGTCTGATCAACGCAATTAAATTAACTTTATCTTTTTTTGACAGCCCTATATTAAGAACTTTAATATCAACCAAAAAATTAAAAAAAAAAAGGAAAGAAAAGGAATTAAGACATACTAATGTAACAAAGGAAGTGCCATCCAAACATCCACCATATATGGCATATGATGGAACAAGCACTTCGTGGCCGTGTAGGTGGTCAATGGGGTCCACTCTGCTTATCAAAACAAAACCTATAACCTTGTACCTGATTATATAATTAATTATTTTTTCTAATTTTATTTATAAGACAGAGAGAAAATTTTTTTAATCCTATTTATAAGTCACGTCATTAAATTTTTATTATAAATTTGTTTACTCTTTATTAAATGTTGAAGAGAGAAAATATATTATTAAAGTGTGTATATGTAATAGGGTAAAATTGATAACTTATTAATTATAAAATAGAGTTAATGAACTTTAAAGTTTTCTTTAAAATTGATAAAATATGTTAAAAATAATTTATCTGTGAGATCAGAAAAGTATTATTTAATCAGCATTACATTGCATTACTAATCAATAAACAAACAACAACTGTCCCATTTGATATTCCAAAATTATACAACGTGACACCACAAGCTTCACACCGAAGGTGCTTCGAATATGCCCATTTTCATGGCTCAAATACACTCTTCTTCTCCCCCATCACTTTTTTAATTAATCACGTTATTATATTCCATTAATTAACTCCTTTTTGTTATATATATACACACACACACACACATAGACATTGTCCCTCCAAATATAAATACAATATAACTTGGCAAGTTTCAACATCCATCAAGCTTAAATCATTCACTTATATAAAGTAACTTTCCTAATCGGTATAGTCCCCTGCCCACAGATTTCGGGGGCAATCATAATCAACCAGTTGGCCAAACTTGATATTTAATTGTTTTTTCGAGTGATGGTATTTAATTATTTTATTCTGTCACATCCTCGCACTTCTTGTCCATTTTATGTTGGGAAAATTTCACTCCCAACCCTTTGATCAGATTTAATAAAAAAAAAAATCTCCAGAATATTGATATATCACTACATAACAAGGGCATTGATTTGAGATTAAATTTTACAATTAAATGACAATATTGCCCTTCACCATAAGAATAAAGGAAAAAAAAAAAAAGTTCCGTCAGCTCAACCATGACGCACATGTCTTGTAAACATATAGAAGATCATGAACATCTTCATTTCAAACCTGAACCAATAGAATCTCTCTTGAGTGAGTGGAAAAGTTTTACTCAAGAAAATTCTCATCTCACCCCTCATTGCAAGTACTTAAACTTTCCAAACTCACAAGTTTGAAGATTAGCGACACATCTATCGTTGGAATTTCTACCTAAGAATCTTCCTTGAATGAGTCACCAGCTGGTTAGGTGCTACCTTTGACCTCATAACTTCTTTTGGTTGATGTCATTCTTCCCTCAATTAAACAGTAAACCAATACTTGAAAAGCAGTCAATATTGTGACAAACAAGTGCGGTAAGAAAATTAATAATTGTTGTAAGATAATTAACCACACTACTAAGGTGATGTATAAGTAATTCAAACATGAAATCATAATGAGCATGTTTTGTCGATATGTTTTACTTAGAATTCTTTCAAACACATGCCGGTATATCATAGACACACCGATATATCATAGACTTATCGATATGTTTTACTTGAAATTCTTTCATGTTGTAACAAACAAGTATGATAAAAAAATCAACAACTGTCGTAAGGTAATTAACCAAACGCATTAAGGCAATGCACAAGTCATTAGAACATGAAATCATATTAGTATATTAGAGACATACTGGTATGACATGTACGTTTTCTCTATCCATTTTTTTGCACGTTACCATAGTTCTTCTTCTATCAAATGATTCTTGCACAAGAAATCCAGCAATAGAGGTGTCGTTAATCTTCAGATGCCCTAATTTAAGTCCTAGAGAGATTCGAAGCTTTATTTGTATTTTTTTGTATTTTAAGATTTGTAATTATGATGAATAATCTTCACTTGCAATTAATTACATATAAGAGTTGATTCTTTAGTTTAAGTTTTAAAAGTCAATGGAGATTTCACTGATCTTCAGACACCCTACTTCACATCTTGGAGAGATTCATCTCCGTTAACAAAGGTGTCTGTCATTTTCAATTTCACTATGTGCATAATCAATTTTCTTGATCTATGTTCGTTTTTGTTCTTACAACAAGGGACAATATTGTTATTTGACTGTAAAATTTAATCTCAAATTAATGCCTCTGCTGTCCAATGATATTTCAGTATTTTTGGAGTCTTTTTTTTATATTAAGTTTGATTAGAGAGTCCTGAGTGAAATTTTCCTTTTTATATATGCTTCAATCTTCTCTCTCGCCCACACACTCTCTCTCTCTCTCTTGATTAACGAAAAACTATTAGGTTTCCAAGTTTTTTTAAGGGGTCCAACATCAATTGTAAAAATTTAACTTATGTAAATATATATTAGAAGAAAATTAAGTGATAAATTACATATTATATATGATTATATGAAGAATTTATGAATTTGATATCGTGGATATATTTATTATGGAAATCAAAAATAGTTTTTTTTATCTCCTTCCCGGAACTTTTATTCTCGAATTACGGATTAATACATAAGAAATAAAAGGTATAAAAAAAATACATTCTAGTCATATATTAAGCAAGTTTTTATAGTTATTTTTTTTCTATAAAAAATATTATCCTTAATTATAGTTATCACCATAATCACAAAAAACCTGTCCTTAAATAAAATAAAAGAAAATAAATGTAACAACGAAAAAACTAATAAAATCAATCAATATAAAAACTTTTAACTCAAAATTTGTCCTTAATTTATTTTTTAATGTGGGATCTAAATTAATATAAAAAGAGAGAGCTAACAAAAGGTAAGGGATTGGGACAAGGAAGAGTTTAAAATTGAAAGGTTAAGTCATAATTAAATCAAAAATTGAAAGATTAAATAGTAATAAATTATAGTTGAATAATTGAATTACAATGAAATATAATAAAGAGTTGAGTTAAAAGTGATTTATAATTTGAATGATTAAAAAATTAAATTTTTTTAAATAATAATCTCCCAAAAGGATGCATCTTAAAATTCTTAATCACGGCAAAGAGCATCTACCTAGGATAACATGGAAGATAATAATAGCATAATTTTCTCTGTTACCATTTCTTAGTGGTTTTTCTTTTTTTTTACTGTAATTATGATCGGACAACGATGACCGTCTATGTCTGACATTTGGCCTCGTGCGTACCGAGCAAATAGACGGTCCTGATTCATGACCCTGTATACAAACAGTGAAAAGACGACGTTCAGTATATAATAATCACTGCACCTACGCCACACAGTATCATTCCCCCCTTCCCCCCTCTTTCACTTCCTCGGTGCAAACCCTATTTAATCCCGCCCTCACGTACGGCAGCTCTACCAGAAAGATACACAAACCCTAGAAATCACCTCTCTCTCTCTCTCTCTCTCTCTGTTGCTACACCCTCTTCGCTTTTCATGGATTGAGACAACAAAAGCAGAATAAACCAGAGTCTTCGCTCGTAAGTACGAGTCGCACCGTTCTTGGCTGTGAATTTTAGAACAAGATGATGCCTCGCACGTGCTCACAGTGTGGCACCACCGGCCACAACTCCCGAACATGCGCCGACGGCAACAGCGGCACTGGCGAGAACAGTATCTTACTGTTCGGAGTGCGAGTCACGCAAGGGAACTCGTTCAGGAAGAGCGCTAGCATGACCGATCTATCACAGTACGAACAGCCGGCGCCTCAGGATCCCAACGCCGATGCCGATTACGTCTCCGATGATGTCGTTCACGCTTCTGGTCGCAGCCGCGAGCGAAAGAGAGGTCCGTAACCGTATTGCGTGTTTGTATTATAATATGATTGATTTATGTTGGCTTTGTTTGGGTCTGGGGATAGATTATTTGGCTTTCCGATTGCTTGGTTCTGTGTAGGTGTTCCATGGACGGAGGAGGAGCATAGGCTATTCCTCTTGGGGCTCCGGCAGGTCGGTAAAGGTGATTGGAGAGGGATTTCTAGAAACTTCGTGAGAACTCGGACACCAACTCAGGTAGCCAGTCATGCTCAGAAGTACTTCCTCCGCCGCCATCACCAGAACAGGAGACGCCGGAGATCTAGTCTGTTTGATATCACCACCGATACGGTATTTAATCCTTCGTTTTCATTCTATGCTATCCTTTGTTGTTTACCGATATATATTTGCATTTATCAGAAGTGATTTATCGATTCCAGGTTATGGAATCTTCAACGGCAGTGGAAGGAGGTAGAATCCACCAAGAAGCGGTCCCGCCCAAATATCCCCATTCCGCTAGCTTCAACGGTTCTGCTTTTCAGATGACGCTGTCCCCGCCGATGTCTCCGACGGGAGCTAAATTAATAAGGCCAACGCCGATCCTGCCAATTGCTCCATCGTCGAACATGGCGAATTTAAACTTGAAAGAGAAAGGTTACGTGGCCGTCTCTCTGCCGGCGAGCAAGGAGAAGTCGTCGACGACAAGTAGCAGGACGTCGGCGTTGGCTTTGGAGGTGATTTCAGGGAAGCTAAGCGGTGGCGGTGATCGCAGTAGCATGATTAGTGTTGCTTGAAGATTAGGAAAAAGAAAAGATGATAGCGGAGGGAAATTGTATGAACTTCGAAGACTTGGAAATGGCTCAGGGCTGTGCCGGAGAGTTCTGGAAGATTATAATATTGGGGCAGATTGTACAGAGCAACAGGGGTAGAGAGAGAAGATGTGGGTTTGAAATTTTAATATATTCTCTCAGTTCTGTATATAGTAAGACGTTTTTAATCCAACTAATAAAAAATTATTATTTAATTAAAAGTATAATAATATTTTAATTTTATTTCTAACTATTAGAAATAAAAAAATATTTTTTTAAAATAAATTAATAAAAGTATTTATTTTTTTAATTTAATAAAGATATAAGGATATGTTCATTAAAAAATATCCTTAATTCCTTACAATTTTTTATATTTAAAGATAAAAAAAAATTCAAAAAATTTTTTTATACAGAGGGAGGGAGGAAGTGCATATTTGTCGGCCTTGCTTTTAGGAGTTGTATTGTATGTGCGAGGTGATGAATGACGATGATGATAGGGCATCAGATACTCATACGATGTGATTGGCCTGTTTATTCCCCAGTCGTGCATGAATTTTTAATTCGGCACCACAGGAACCAGTGAACCACACCATCGAAATTGGAATCACTTCATTAAAAAATAAAGAACAGAAAAAAGAAAGAAATTGCTCTTCGTATAATTTGAATTTTTGTCCTTCATTTCTTTTTGATAAAAAGATATTAAAAGAATCACGAATGCAGCCTGCGTGTCTCTTTTAAATTTTAATACAAACAATTATCAAGAAAAAAATTTACATGGTTCAAAAGCTATAAGAAATATTTCAGAGGAAAAGCATAGATTTTACCTTTTTTTGGGGGTGCAATATAGCGTTCTTGTTCCAAATTTAAATTTGGTAAAAGAAACCAAATTTATGTTAGATTTTTTTGTGGGTTTTTTTAATCTTTTCATTTCAGTTTAAGATGTTATTTCACACTAGGTATATCCAGGGTCACTGTTGTCATGCTCTGTGCCTAGGTATTCTCCAATCTGACCTACCAGGTTTTCTTGGTTGACGTGCGACATGGTTTTGGTTATTATTAGTCCATCTCCTTTTTTTTTTTTTCGTTTCAAAATCAAACCACGTGGTATTTAGAGTCATATCAAATTTTGACTATTTTGGGTTGAATTGCCGGGGATCACCGGAGTAATACGTGTTCATTACATTCACACTCTCCGTAATTATTAACACCATTCTTTTCTATAAGAGAAGGTCAACAAAATAACTGTCAATGCAATGGTATTCATACAAAATTAATGCTCTAGACTTCTGGAACCGTGACTTATTCCCATGTCATATTAAGTTATTGGTAACTTTTTTAAGGTGTTTAAAAAATAAGATTAAAGTTTAATTTTGTCTTTATATTTATTTTAAAAAAATTAATTTTTTAATCTTTTAACTTTTAACTCACTTGTAACTCAATTTCTCAATTATAACTCACTGCGACTCAGTCTCTCAATTATAACTCGTTGCGACTTAATCCTTTAACTTTTATTTCACCTATAATTCGGTCCTTATTTTTAATTTTTTTTTAAAAAATTTCGTATCAAATAAGAGAGATAAAAATTTGCTCATATATTATCCTAAAATACCCTCCTCTTGCTTATTGATGTGAAATATAAACTAACATGAAAAAAATTAATAAAAATTTAGGAACTAATTTGTAAGTGATTTAAAAGTTGAAGAATTAAATCATAAGTGAGTCATCTATAAATTTATAAAATGCTAGCAAAAATAATATTTAAATATAAAAATATTAAATTAGATGGTGTAATATTTTAAATAATAATATTTAAATACTTAATATTTTAATAATATTTATTTAATTTTATTTTAACAAGATTTCAGGATGCCCAATGCCTCAAGAAAAAGACTTTAAGGTGCCTAGTGTTTATAAAAAAAGAGTTTGAGGGCAAATTAACACCAAAAGACTTGCCATGTGTTACATGTCACTGTGCGTGGACTCCACATATCTGCCACGTCAGCAAAAAATAAAAAATTAATGGTTGGTTAATGAAATGGGGTTTTTGCTCTGAAAAATAGTTCATGGGCAAAATTATCTCACTTAAGAGTATAAGATACATAACATTTTTAAAAAATAAGTATAGGAGCAAAATTAAACCTTAATCCTAAAAAATAGCAGGTGAAATTTTAATTTTTTTAAAAAATTTACAATATGTTTCTAATTATAGTATTATATTCTCATTAAATATACTACTCTATCTTATCTCCACAGTATAAATTATTATTAACTAATTCATTCTTTGCAAAAAATGTTAGTTGAAACCTGTATTTTGAACCAAGGGGTGCTGTTAGAAAGCAGCTTATATTGTGGTCGAGAGGGAGTATATAAATACTTTAATCATGATAATTGAAATTTCAAAGTATCATTTTTTCCAAAAAAAAGAAATGAATGAAACAAGGATATAATTGAAAATTGAAAAATAATTATAAAATTAGCTAATACTTTATATTTTGGATTAAGTAGAGTTTTTAGTAGATGGCCTATGTATTATAGTTGGGAGAGAGTATGCTTAGTATAAAGGAAAACCTTTTAAAATGTCAACTATAATAAGATTACAAAGCAGTAAATTTTAATGATATTTTACTGAAACACCTTCGATTTACATTATGTGTTAAATACACTACTACAATTAGAATAGATTGGGGTGTTAATGAATGGAAGATAGTAAAATAAATTAATGTTTCCTTGGGATTCTAAAATCAGAAGTATTTTGGAAAATTAGAAAAAAATTTAACGAACATTATTTTAAAATAAGGTAAGATTGTACTGTGTGATATATATTAAATTATTTAGACTTTGGCAAAAAAAAAGCATATATATATTATTTAAACTTGGTACATGTATGTTTATTAATATCCAATTGTGCATGGGTTCTCATAAATTATCTCCATGGTTAAAAGGCTTCAAAATTATCAAATAAGTTAATTAAAATGGTTGAACAATGAGGCAGTAATCAAATGCAATATGCAAAGCAACAAACATAGATTATATTGACTTTGGCTGCTGTGTAGGAGCTGATCATGTATAAGCACTCCTTTTTTTTTTTTGAACATATCTTTTCAAGGTATTTTATGCAAATCAAGAATTAATTTAGTAATTTAAATTATAGTCAAATTTAATGATACAAAACTAAAATATTCTTTACTTGAATAGCCTCTTAGATATGGAGTAGACTGAAATATTATTGAGGTTAATTTAAAACATAACACTTCCTTAAAATTCAAAGATGACAAGCATATATTTTTGAAAAGAAATTAAATTATAAAAAATGCAAAATAATACTTATTTTGAAATGAGAGTGTTAAATGTATTTGTTAATAATATCAATATATATCAAAGGTTTCAAGGAGGCACATGATACTTATTAAGCAATGAAATAAGGGAGAATGATAGATAGGTCCCAAATTAAGATGTCAATTAATTCAAATTTAGTCTCAAAGTTCCAAACTACAAGAGTATCGGCTTTCAATTTTGTAACTTCGTTGTGAATAATTTATAATTTATTTTTTAAATTTTAATATAGTTGAAGAATAAATAAATTAGTTTTTTTAAAAAAATTAAAACACAAGTTGCTAATTCATTATAATGAAATTGCAAAATTGATAGCCAAATTTGTAAATTTTTGAAATTTAATGCTTTGGGACTTAATTAGAATTAATTAATCTTTTAGGACCTATCTATTATTTCCCATGAAATAATGGAATTTATTTAATTTATATACTTCATAAAAATATAGAGAGTACCCATTATTTCTTGGTTACCCATTGATACCATTCTTGGATCTTGAATATTTTATTTAGTGGCCAAAAGAGGGGCAAGCACTCTATTATTTTTACTATGCATGTACAAGAAGAGTTTGAACTTTGAACTTAATCATATCAGCACACCACCAACATTCTTAATTATCATTGATCTAAAACCTTATGTGGTTCATGAGTATCTTTCAATAAAAGAGATATACTGGCTTTTGCAGCAACAAAAATATTTAGGAATTTCCATATCTAAGTAATTATATTACTTCAGTTGTAAACATCCAATTTTCACTAGGATTATATACAATATATAGGAGGATAGCGAAACTTCAGTAACATTCCAGGGGCTAATTAATTAATTAGACCATAGAACCATAGAAGATAATGATATGACACCAACGAATTTTTTGTCAGACGAAGAATCACCAGAGAAGTAAAAGTACTATTAATTAACATGATTCCCATTGATCTTTTCACGAACTTGGTTGATATAGCTGCCAGCTTGAGCATCAACGTCGTCATTAGTTTCATGCCTCGTTAAGGTTTGACCAACCTGTTCTGATGTCTTCACTCGTGTCGTCGATGACTTTGGGAAAGGATCGTAATTAGGCTCTGATAATCTTTCATGATCTTCTGGTTGTGGTGGATCATGACCATGGTTTAGCGGGAAACTTTGGTCACCGAATAAGCTGCGACATGATAGTCTGATGATGTTTGATACCAGCAACATCGAAACTTCATAGAGTGATGATGAGGACGACGACGACGAGGATTTTTTCCTGTTGTTTCCGCAGTACTCATCGATCGCCATGGGATAGGGTTGATGAGGAAGATAAAAAGAAGTGGTCGATGAGCTAGATAGATCTCTCTCATAAAGAGATCTACATGAGCAGAATGAGAATTTAAACAGGCCAATTTCAAAAGGGATATAAAGTCATTCGATCACGCACGTCAGCTTTCAAAAAAGAAGATACTTCAAGAAAGGATGAGGAAAAGATAACCTTTTTTTTTTTTTATAATAGCCGGAGACTTTCGGATATTCAATAATTACAAGAATTAGTGTACAAAGAGAGAAAGTTATACTTTATTATTTTACCAATCACACACATTAAAATAGATTCGAATATAATATTTCACCTAAAGAGTCTTGAGTCCACCAGAATATGTGTATATATATATATATATATATTATATAGATCATACGAGGCACGGAAATTAATTATTGGATGGAATTAGGGAATGGATGAATTTGGGAATCTTAAATCTTGAAAGAAATCTAATTCCTTGACGACAAAAGGCTATCATTCCCTGGTTTTTTTTGCAGCCAGGACTTTAGGGAAATCAGTTATTGTCAGCAAGCGTTTAAAGAGACGGAAACAGTGTGCACCAGCAAGAAGGCATTTTTTTTTTGGGGGAGGGGGGGGGGGGAACAAAACAGAAAGCATATTT